GCCCAGGCCCTTCTCTTGCCTTTGTGCCTAGAGGTGACCTGCATCCACTCAGTCATGGGGTGGTCCTCAGGTGGACAGGCTCCAGTAGAAGGTGAGGGTTGAGGAGGTGAGGCAGCTACAATGGGGGCACGACTAGGGGCAGGGTGGCCCTGCTCCCTCTCTCCCCTTGGTTGCTGCTGTCCCTCCCCAGGAGACTGCCAAAATTGGTTCCTTGAGCTCAAGGTGGGGGCTCGTAGTTGTGGCTGGGGTGCCAGAGGGGCCCGAGAGGGGAGGGCTGCTGGTGGTAGGGGGACCCCTCTTGCCAGTGGGACTTGCGGATGTCCTCCCTGCCTAGCCCAAGGGGCACTCACAATGCAGGTGTCCCAGGGCAAGACACTGGAGGAACCACCGGTCCCCCAGTATATAGAAAATCCTTACCAGGGCACCCTGATAAGGAACTGTCAGGCATCCCTCAGCCTCCAGCCACACTCCCGCTGCCAGCTGGATCATAACCTGGTGACGGAAAGAGCGCACCTGGCGGAGGCCAGGGTCTTGGCACCCCAGCAAGAGGGCCAACCACCAGGGAGATAACTCTCCCCAGGGTTTGGAGCTGGGGGAACAGGGCCCAATTGGGGATATAGGAAGGGACGGAGCTTTGGACCACCCTGGTCCCCAGCTCTTCTAGAGGCTTGAGGGGGACGTACTCATCCTCTGCCATGAGCCCCCTCTCCACCGCCTTGTGTGTGGTGGCCTCTGAAGCAAGGAAAAAGACCCCCTTGAAAGCAGGAGGCCACCACAACCTTGGGAGCCCTCACTACCTGAGTCATAGCCTGCACCCAGGTCTCAAAGTACAGGTTCTCCTGCTTGGGCAGTTGGCACTTTACCCTGTGCCTGCAGGTGACTGACAGAAAAGGGGCCCCTGCTGCCTAAGCTGGAAGAGCAGGCTGTGGAGGGTCCAGACCCGCTGGCTTCGGGTCTCCCCACAGATGGCTGTGCATAGCTGTGGTTCCCCCCCTGGGGGGCCGCATTGATGGGGCCGGGGCTAGGGCCAGGGCCAGGCTGAGTGGGTGTGCTGGCTGGTGTAGCACACCTGGTACCTTCAAGTGCTGGTGGTCTAGGCTTGGGGGCAGGGCCCTTGCCCTTCCCACCCCAACCTGTGGAGAAGGCTGAAGAGGAGCCTTTCCCACTGCCCTTGCCCTTGGTCCCTGATGATGAGAGAGGGGGTTTGGGAACCCCTCTGGGGAGGGGCGGGGGCTGGCCAGGGGAGACCCCCTGGTCCTGTGGCTCCCTACCGGAGTCCCATCTGCCCCTGCGGTAGAGGTTGCAGGTTTCTCCACCCCTGGAGGAGGTTGGTTGGACTCTGCTTCTGCAGGGGTATGCATCCCTGGGATCCGCCCCCATAGTGGGGGCTGCAGGAAGCTCTGTGGGGGCATCTGCCCCACCATTGTTTCATGTAAGGCCAGGGAAGACAATAAGGAAAAACAAAATATCCATTGGGGCTGGTGAATCTAATAGGGACAGGCTGGGGTTGTGGGAGAGAAGGCAGTAGGGAGGAAGGGGGCTGAAGCTTCACTGAGCTACAGCCCCACAGGAAAAAAAATGGGAGAGCTATGCTTTGAAATTGTGGGGGAGGGGGAAAACACACAAGGGCTGGGGAAATGAGCTGGCTTACTCAGCCACACAACAAACACCAGGGCAGAGGGAGTGGACCACAGGACTTACCACACAAGGGAAAGAACACACAGGGAAGGCTGCTAAGGGAGATGTAAAAGATGACTGGAGCGGTGGAGGGGCTTTGTTGAAGATCAGTCCAGGAGTCCCTCAGGCCTCCAGCCAGACACTCAGCAGCAGAGCAGTAGGTAGGAAGACAAAGCAGGATCAGATGCAATGAGGTAGCTGTGGGGAAGGGCAAGAGCAGTCAGCCAATTAGGGAGTAATCCAGTGCAGGTGTGGTGTCAGGTGATGCAAGGCAGTGCAGCAGGGAATCTCTCTCTCTCCTGAGAGGGGGCAGCAGTAGTAGCAACAGCAGCAGTGGTGGTAGGCGCCGTCCAGTTCAGCCACTCAGGGTGTGCTCCTGGTGAACGTGGAGGTGAAGGTGGGGGGTGGCCTGCCAAGGCAGCTAGGGCAGGAAAGGCACCTTTAGGCTCTGGCAGCAATGGTGGGGGAGGGGCCCACATGCAGTGCAGGCTTCCTCCCCAAGCTGACCCCCAACCACAGCTTGGTTGTGGGCTGGGCAGCAGGCTGGAAGAGGGGTGCAGAAGCTGGGGTGTGGTGGGCTCCACCCCGAGCAGGGACAGCAGTGTGCAGCAGAGGACCCCCACCATAGCGGGTGGGGGCAGCAGCAGCAGCAGCAGCAGCCCAAGGCAGGAAGGGATGCGGCCAACTTACTCCCAAAAGCTCTGAGACCAAGCTAGCAGTAGCCAGAGGTAGAAAAGGGCCTGGCCATCTTCTCCCCAAAAGGTCCTTAGACCAAGCTAACAGCAACACCCTGGGACAGGAAGAGGTGTGGTCAACTTCCTACCAGAGGCTCCTCCTCTAAAAGCTCCTGAGAGCAAGTAGTTCTGAGCTACTTGACAGGCCAGCTTTTTATACTGATGGGACCAGGGCCAGGACAGGGCAGCTTTTTATACTGATGGGGACAGCACTGGTGCTGGCCCTGGGCTCTAGCTCCCCCTGGCTGCAGATCCAAGAGGAGCCAGGCAGGGTTATTTTGCCCCAAGTGGCACAATTTGCCCATCACCAATTTGCATGTCCAGGCACGTGCACTGAGGCAAAAAGCCACAGCTCAATTTTGCACAGCTTCTATTTGAGCTGCTGCAAGCGTATGTGTTTGCATGTGTGGATGTGTCCTGTATGAAGAAGCTTATCTGCACTTTGACATGACAACTTCTCTCCTCAAAAAGCAGGTTCCCAGGAAAGCAGGGAACATTCAGCCCCACTCCTCTCTGCTCCCTACCTCCATACATCTAAGAAACCTAGGATCCAAGCTCTGAATTACTGTGGCATATGCCTGTCCTTAAAATCAAAACTAGGTCTGCTTGGAATGATGATTATAATCAGTATTTATCTCTTTACTTGGGATGGATTCATTTGACTGCCTGATCAAGAGTTAAAACAGAAGGGTTGTGTGAAACAGCACCATTTCATTTTGAAATTTGGAAGGGACACGGTTTCATTTCACTGTTTCGAAGCAGTGTTCCATTTCATTTCATTAAAACTGTTTTGCTGTTTCGCCCATAGGCTATAATAGGGAATCATGAAAATGCTTGTAACTTTCTCATTTCATGTCTGATTTGGATGAAAATTGCACAGATGGTAGCCCGTTCTGAGGGCATGAAGCCTGTCAAGTTTCAAGGAGATAGGTGCAGGGAGTTTTGTGAAACTCCACCTCAAACTGTTCAAAGCAAAACTAGTATCACTTGCCAACAGCGGCAGCATACTGTCATCCCTCACGCAGATCAGGGGGCATAGTCCAGAGGACTGCGACACAGCCCCACAGCTCTCCCAGGGGGTGCAGGCCCCTGGAACCACATGCGGGATGACAGCAGGCTGCCACTGCTGGCTAGTGCCAGCACCAGCACTGGGTTCTTCCCAGCACTCGGCACAGGCTGTGCTGGGCAGAACTGAGTGCTGACGCTGGCCCCAGCCAGCAGCAGCAGCATGCTGTCATCTACATGCTCCGCACCTGGGGAATGCTGAGCTTTAAAAACAAAACAAAAGCCCTAGACTCAGCGGCTCTGGCAACGGCGACTGGGGCCTCTGGGGGCTCATGGCAGAGCCCCTCTGTGCAGCACAGGAGGCAGTGGGGATCACCCACCTCCCCACCAAGCACCCGCATAGCAGCTTCCCCATGACACAGATGCAGCACGGCTCAGCAAGGCACCACACACTGTTTGGGAGCTGGGGTGGCTCCGTGCGTCAGCCGGAGCTTCCAGTTTGATTCCCCAGCTCTCTGATCATTCCCCCAGTTCTCCACAGGGGGACATTGCCCCCAGATCTATGTGGGGGTTTTCAGCAGGCTGCTGCTGCCGGCTGTGGAAATAGCTCAGAGCGACCGCCATCCCCAGACGGAAGTGGCAGCCTGCTGTCATTCTGCATCATCTGGGGGCTGTGCCCCACCCCCGGGAATAGCTGAGGGAAGCAATCAGAGAGCTGGGGGAAATATCAGGGAGCGGAAGAAATGTTCAGATCCCTGAACATTCCCCCAGTTCCTGGTTTGATTTCCCAGCTCTCTGCTCATTCCCCCAGCTCTTCCCAGGGAGTGGAGGCCCCCAGTTCTGCATGCTGGGTTTCAGCAGCCTGCAGTGGCAGTCTACTGGAACCTGGCACACAGATGCCCCTGGCCCCTATATGCTGGGCCCCATTCTGATTCAGGATCTGGCACATGCACAGAGGTGCTGTTGTAACTGCACTGGCTGGTAACAGACACCACACTCAGAGCCTTGGTGGTCAAAGTCAGGTCTGTCAGTGGAGCTCTGACCACAACTGCTATTGTCTGCTCTTTTACAGTCTCCCCTGGCTCAGCTGACAATGCAGCCTTGGAAATTACTGGTGGCAAGATACATGCATCTAATGGTTAAAGAAAAAAAAATCTCAAGTCCCAAAATTAGTTCCCATGTCTCTTAATTCATCCAGTTTTCTTTGTTCACAAAAATGACATTTTCCCCTTACACTCATTATGCAAACTCTTTAAATAAACAAATTATATTTTCAAAATAAATGAAAAAGTATAGGATACCTCAAACCACCGCTTGTTAAATGGCAGCATAATCAAGATGAACAGCTTAAGTTTTTCAAGTTTAATTTTTCAGCAAAAAAACCCCAAAACAGCACAAAGCCAGCTGTTTACATCAGCTCTAAGTAAGGTCTCTAAACACAGCCGAAAAAGGGAAGCTACTTGTGTTGTTAGTGTGTAAATCAGCAGGTTTCAAAGGACAGAAATACTGGAAAATACAGCAGTAGCATAACAAGCAGATATGTTGTTCTGTTTCCACTATGGATGCCTGTTAACTTCCTATTACCTTCCAATGCCTGGACTTCACTCTGACTTTGCTGGGCTTGCTTGAAGAGGAAGAGGAAGAGGAAGAGGATACGTTTGCACAGGATGTACACTTTTTTTTAAATGCTGGAATACTGCAGCTCTCTAGATATCTCTAATATAAGCATGTCACAATTACATGACCAGCTCTTGATGAGCTCTCACAAATTGTACAGTTACAATTGTTTTCTTTTGAAGGAAAATGTATAACACTATCTGTGGGATAGAAGAGAGTTCTGTTTTCAATTTTAAAAGAAAGAAAAATCTTGAGTTTTTGCAAAATTCTCAGACTACAGAAGAGAAGTGTAAGAATCTGTGCTTGCTCAACTGTAAATTGGCAGCTTAGATTTCTTACCTTCAGTCCCACCAAGCCAAAACAACCTGAAGATCAGGAAAGATATAGTTCAGTATCATTTTTTATTTCATTGTTGGAACAATATTGCATTCAATAAGAGAAAAATCTGAATTTGCATGCAGACCCTTTGCATTTTTGATAGGTATTTCCTGTGTATTCATAGTATCATTAATAAGATGGAATATCTTAAGATGGGAAAACAATGTTATATATGATTACACCAGTCCCTTGGTCCTATTTACATAAGTTAACTTATAGACACACTTCAAATGCAAAGTCACTGTAAGGACATAGAGACCAATTTTTGGCACAATTAAATTAACAGAAGCCACACTTCACATCTCAAAACAGGGCTCATTTCCAACCACCTTCCTACAATTAAACGTCTAGGTACTCAATTCAGATACAAGCTGTACTTTTCCTTAGTTACAGTTACCCTCCCCTACTTAACAGTAAACAAACTGGACTAAAAAAATGAAAAAAAAAATCTGTCAGTTGATGATACCTGATGATACTGTCCATACACAATTAATCTGCTGATACGATGGAACTGGCTTGGTGTTGACTGATGTTATTTCTTAGTGCCTGAAGAATATAGAAAGTGGTGTGCTGCTTGCTTAGAAAAGAAGACATTTTCAAAAACATCTTTCAAAGCTGCCCCCCGCATGGGGTGTGTGGCCTGCAATACTATAACCTTCAGTGCTGCAATACTACATCACTACTTCTATGTTCACATTCCAATGCAACATTTTTCAGAAACATTATTTAAATATTGTTTAAAAGCAAAAAAGACTCTAAAACTTAAGATGCAACCTCCACCTCACTCATTGTGTCCTCTCTCTCTTGCATTTACTAACAGCCACTGCCATCATTAGGTTTAAGGGGGTGGGAAGTAAGTAAAACTAACAGACAGGCAAATAGAAATACCCTTCACACCCTGAATCAAACCCCAATACCAAATTTCTCTGCATAAATTAGGTTTATAAATTGGCATTTCAGATGCTGCAAACTGCAAAGTAGCTTTACCTACTTTCTTCTGCTTTCACCTCAACTTACAAATCAAAACATCCCACCTCTAAACCACAAGAGGCTATGGCTCCTCACAAAACTAAAGCTAAAAGTATTTTACTAGCTTATAAGTTGGCACACTGAGCCAATAATCGAAGTGTGCCAACATTTCCTATGCAATCTGCTCTGGCCAATGCTATCTTGCTGTCTGTACGGTGTGTGATAACACATTCTACTGCACTATTAAAAGAGATCTGAAGAGTGAAACCATCAGAGTCAGCAAAGAACATGTCATGACTGTAAGCTGTTGGGGAGTTCCCACTTAAATATGGGAATCAGCCTTCTATAAACTCACCTCCCAGCAGTTCAGCACCAGGGACCCGGTCTTTTCTATTTTGCCATTTGCTCCAGAACTCAATACACAACTGCTGCCCCAAATTCTTTATTTGATTGATGTTGGCACAGACCTGCTACAGAGTCATCCTGGGATATGGTAACGTGCAAACAGTCAGATGGAGGAAACATGAGTAAATGCAAGCAACCACCACAAGAACATACTCAGGAAGCTCTATCCGATTTACTCCAAGGTATGTCAGGAGAAGGTTTGTCATCATAAATTTGGTACTTCCTAACTTTTACCAATCTGATTCCCCATGATGAATTGAAATAATTTTCTTGCAGAGGTGCAAGTCTTCAGAGATGGGAGGTAAAACCAAGCTAAGGATTTTCTGAGAAAAGTACTCTTTCCCCCCACACTACAGAGGATGTATATTTGCAACCAGATATTGATAGGGATAGCAGGTGCATAATTTGTGCACAATTATCTTGTGCTATTTTTCTTTCTTAAGTGTCATTCTGCTCAGAGGTTTCCCTCCTCCCCCACCCCATCCTGTCAAACCCAATAGTTCTGAGAGAAGTCACATCACTGCAGAGGTTTTCAAATTGCTGTGAAGTACCTTTATATTAACTATCTCCTTACTTCAGTCAGGTCAATAATTACTACTGCAATTTTAAGATTCTTGTATGTTGGATGAATCCCAAGTATATTTAATTCAAACACTTGAGACCTACATAGCTGTACTTTCTCACTTCAGTATAATTCACTATGTGTAGTGTCTGTATGCCATGAAACGTTCCAGTGTAATTATTGCATTTCCACTTGTATCTGGGTAATATCAGTTACATACTTACTGGTTTTCATATTTCTTCTACACAATTTCCATTGGAGTCACTGGAAGATGCTATGCTGATATAGTGTTCATAAGATCCACTGCTACCAAGACTTCCATAACCACTAGAGCCATTGCTGTGGACTGGCTGTGAGGCAGAATTGTTTCTTTCTACAACTATGGCAAAAAAGAAGGAATGGACAAGACAGTTGGCAACACAACAGTTCAAAAGACTCAGCAGAGATTAGAGAAATTGGATTATTCCCTAAGGCTGCAAGCTGGGGAACCTTTACCCACATAGGAAGCATTCCATGCCAAACCCAAGTCTCATTAAGGACAGTTTTAGTCTCCAACATATAACTTAACCAAAATATTGTACAAGTAATTTAGTTGGGCTTCTGGACTACTTGACTAGAAAAACAAACAGAGATCAGAAGTGCTGATACTGCTTATTTCAGTTACTTGTTCTGAGATAAGAAATCCTGCATGCCTTGGGTTATCC